TGAACGGGACGGTGACATTTACTGAGAAAGCCAAATGCAACAAGTTCACCTTTGCATTGTGTCGAGAACAATTTTCCCTCAGAATCAATTTAACAATTCCACTGCAGCACCACGTGCAACTGCTGTAACTGTGACCCCCAAATCAGGCCAGTTTCCTAAATAAATACTTGTACACAGAGCTGCCCACCGGGTTTGGTTATGCAGGCAGCTTAGGACTCACAGCAGCCAGTTAACAACTTTAAAGTGTCTTAAACCTTATCAAGAATCTTGAATCAACTTGAGAGAAGGGATGTAGATCATGCTGGTCTCAATGCCTCATCCCGGCTGGTCGTTCTTCCTCCCTCTCTTGCCCAGGAAGGCCCCTCGTGCCTCTCACTGCCCAGCTCACGCCAGCAGCACCACCAGGCCCTGAGGAGACACGTCCACACAAGTGCCCAGCTGCCAGGGGGGCTGCTTCCCAGCAGCTTGTCAGCAACACGCAGGGAACAACAAACCCTCTTGCAAAAATCCTCACGTCAGTTTTGTGATAAGGAGGGCACAGTATCCTTGGGGAAGTGTCAGAGGATATACCAGCTCCTCTGGGACATCTCCAGGCTGCACAGGGCTGGAATTGGGTGCAATCCAAGGCATTTTGTGTGGTGACACTCAAAAGGGCTCCCCAGATCCCCTGGACCCACATCAAAGCTGCTCCCAGAGATACCCAGGTAGGAAAGGCAACCTGGATGGGGGAACCAGGGCCTGCCCCAGAGGGGCCCAGCATCACTCAGTACCTGCCTGGATAGATGATACTCACAGGCATGGAGTTCTTGGCAGCATTTCTGACTGAGGGAGCTCAGACAGAGCGACCTTCTCTGGCGTTTCAAGGCTTAAACCCTGCAGCTCCTGCCCACAGAACCACCCCTGGCTGGGTCCTGCTACAGCCCTAGCCACCTGCACTGGTGTCTTGCAGGAGGAAACAGCCTCTCCAGACACTTACCAGTAATATCTGAACATCCACCTTTAGCAAAGGAATGTCCAGCACGTTTGGCAGAGGGATCCCAGTGCTCAGAGCATCTGCAGGGGACAGGCAGGTCCTGAGGGGTAAGCCCAGCTCCCACCCCACAGCAAGGCTGCTGCCAGGAGGGAGAAGGGACAGAGCTGCCCGCGGGCACAGACATGATTTTCTTCAGCTTTCTTCATGTTCTCTGCCTTAGGACTGAAGCTGGGGTGGATGGTGGAAGAACAAGGTTGGGACTGTTACTGCAGCCCCAGCCCAGGGACTGCCAACCTTAGTTGCTCCTGCTACAGCTTTCCAACAGGAACATGTGCCCCTCTCCCCTCCTTCCCCAGAACCCAAAGCCCCCCCAGTGTTGCTCCATACCATTGAGGAGAGGCATCAGCTTTTCCAGCAGCAGAGCTCTGCAGTGGGGCTTCAAGGTCGAGATCTGAAGCAGAGAAGGCAGAGAGGGTGTGAGTGGGAGGGTGTGAGCTGAGCCCAGCACTGCCACGGGAAGAGAGCCAGTCCTTGGGACTGGAGATGAGCAAAGGAACAAATAATGCCTCTTATCTTCAAAGCAAATCTACTTTTCTTACTTGATTTGTATTTGCTCCTTCCTTTGGGAATCTTTCTAGCAGGTAAAACTCCTGCTGGAGCTCCATGCAAGCTTTGCCCAAGCAGGGCAGAATAAACAGACAGACCCTGGGCTTTATGTTTGCATTGTTAGAAAAGGCAGGAGGGGGGAAAAAAAAAAAGGCAGCAAAAGAAGAATTGCTACAGCACACAGAGCAGAGCAGCCCCCAGCCCAGCCCCTCAGCAGCAATCCAGCACAGACAGGACACCTCTCAGCAGCACAGAGGACACGTGTCTCCTCCCTCCCCAGAGCCCAGGGCTCAGCACCTGGCACCAGAGACTTACATTGCTGATGCCAACCTCAGAAGACTCCAAGGAGAGGGAAGTTCTGCAGGAAAGGAAAGCAAACAGCACATCAGACACCAAGTCACTGCCCAGGGCTGCCAGATCCCTACTGTGGGGCCCCACTGCCCCCCGGGCAGCCTTACACAGCCCATGGGCAAGGGATCCTGTGGGGGATCCCTGGGACACCCCTGCAGGGACCACATGGGTGTACAGCAAAACCAGGCACTGTCACACTTGCAGGAGAGAAAGGAAAATAAAAGCTTCACCCAATTTTCCATTTTTCTTTGCTTGGAAGGGAAGCAGCTCTGCCAGAGGGCACACATCACTAGTTCCTGGCTCCTCTTCCCTCTCCCATGCCCAGGCAGCCTTTCACCTTGGGAAAGGAGTCAGCTCGTGTGCAGCTGAGAGCAGAGCTTCTAGAAAAAGCATCCAGTCTGGATGTAAAGATCACAAACTCTGGAGAATTTGCTACTGCTCCTAATCTATCATTGCAATCACACAGCTATCTCCATAGCTAAAACGTATGCTTTATTTCCACTTTCAATTTCTCTTTTCTACTTCCATTGAATCTTGCTATATCTTTGTCTATTGAATATTGAATTAAAAGCCCTTTGATGCATTTCTGCTCTCTCTATTGCTGCATACAAGCTTTGCCAATGTTGCCTCTAAATCTAGCTCTCTGACAAGCTCAACGGCTTGAAATCCTGAAGCCCCACACTACAAGAAATGCTTTCCACCTTCAATCATACCTTGACTGGCATTAATGACAGCACTTCCCTTACTCCTTTATCATGCCTGTCCAATACCAGACATTTCAAACTACTGCCCAGGATCAAAGTCAAGCTGACAGTCTTACAATTATACAGGTTATCACATTTCTCCTTGTTATAAAACTGACACAGACTTTTCCTCCAGTCTCCTAAAACTTCCCAACTGCCGTCATGTTTCCTGAGAGCCAACGGTCCCTGCCCGGCTCCTGCCATCAGCCAGCTAGGAAATTCTCAGATTCAGGAAATGAAATGCCTGTTTTACAGACACTGGAAAACATTCCGTGTTAGCAGCCCCAGACCTGGCATCACAGCACAGGGAATGTCACCAGCCTGCAGGAGGTGTCACCACTCCTGTCCTTTCTGCCGTGGCTCAGGCGGCTCCAGCTCCGTGTCACCGAGGCTCGGAGCATCCCTGAGGAACCACAGCCCTTCCTGCTGTCCTGCTCTCTTCTGGCTGCTGCTTCCCAGCAACCAGAACCTGTGCCCTGAGCTCTGGGAAAGCCAGAGTTGTCCAGGCTGGCTGGAGAGGCAGGGCAGGCTCTGGGAGCAGGCTCGGGTGTTGCCTCCAGCTACACCCTGGGGACAGCCTACCTGCCCAGGGACAAGCCCAGCACCAGCCTCCCTGCAGCCACGGACACCTGGGCGCTCAGACCGAGGTCCTGCAAGCAGACAGGGCGAGATCAGCCCGTGGAGCTGTCCCCAGCACAGCTGCCAGTCGTTTGGCTGGCTGCACCTTTTGGTTTGGGGTCTTCTGCACTTACAGCCTTCAACAGCAGGAGGTTGAGGATGGGCCCATCTAAACGCTTGATGAACAACTGAATCATGACTGAAAGCTGGACGGTGGCTTTGTTGTCTTCCAAGAGGATGAGTGGTTTCCCAGCCAATGATATCTTAATGCTCAGAGGACTGGTCCCTTGGCAGGCAGAGCACTGCAAGAATGGGGGCTGCATGGAGGTGGCAACCTGCAGCTCACACCCCAGCCAGGCAGGGGACAGGCAGTGCCCTCACAGCCCCATCACCGTGCAGGGCCCCCAAGGTCACACAGACCTGAGAAAAGCTAAATTTACAGAGCAAAAGGGTCCAGCAGGGGCTGCCAAGGGCTGGGTGCAAACCTGGGGTCCCTTGGCCCGGTGTGTGCCCAGCACAGCCAAGGGCAGGGGGCAGGAGAGCAGAGACCCTTGGTAGCAGCACCACAGCACATCCAGGTGCAGCACTTGGATTGCCTCAGGCCTGGCAAGGTTTACACAAACCCTCATGCCAACAAAAGTCACTCACCCCAGCAGGGACGAGGGTCCTGATGGCTTCTTGCAGACTGCTGGCTCCAGAGAACTGTTGGAACAAAAGCAGAAGCAGCTTGGTGAGGGCTCCAGCCAACTTCAGCAGCACCCGTCCTGCCAGGGCCCACTCCTGTCCCTGTTCCCAGCCAGCTTGTTGGCACTCCTGGTCCCCAAGCCCTCGCTCACCCCGTCCCCAGCTGGGCAGCTCAGTCACACAAAAACCCAGGTTATGGCAGCACCTGAACCCTCCATCTTCTCCATGGCTCCTGGGGCAATTCCCAGTCAGTCATTTTGGTGGGAGTTGCCCTCAACGTGTCAGTGCGTGACCCCTGATACATCCCAGTGCAGGGACAGCCCAGAGGTGCAGAACATGTGGTTGTCAAGAACTGTCACATACATGAAGCTGCTTTTCTCAGTGACATTTTGCAGCCTCCTTAAACAGCCCTGCAGGAGTCCATGGCAAGACCAGCACACAGCTGGTTCCAGCAGGGAACCCTGGGCTGATTGCTGCACGTGCCATTGCAGCTTTCTGGAGAGGGCAGCAAGGATGCAGGGCTGGGCCTGAGCACCTGCAAGGGAGCTCCTCGAGCCCCGCTGTGCCCAGAGCACCCGCCATCCCCCTGCCCCAGCCCTGCCACCCACCCAGCCAGCAGCACACTCACCGTTTCTGGCGTGCAGGGGAAGGTCTGTGGTGGGATCTGGAGCAGGAGGAACAGGACTGCGTTGAGAAAGCTCTGGCGCAGCACCAGGACCAGCAGCTTGTCCAGCAGTGGAGGCAAAGCAGAGGGGGACGAGTCATGGGGGATGATGCTGCCTCCCACCTGCTTCACCACACCCTGCAGAGAGGTGACATGGATGTGAATCCCACCCTTCACGAGGCAAAGGGAAAGCCTGATGAAGTCTCTGCACTAAAGCAAGAGCAGCAGCACTGACAGTGCAGGCTGCACTGCTTGTTATTAGCTCTTGCTAGTCTTTATTGCTTTTGTCCCAGTTGCTTCTCCCTAACCACTCTCTTTTATTTAAGCTCTCCTGCTTGAAAGAACTGTTTGGTTGTTGTGGGTTTTTTTCCTCGTGAGGCAGTAAAAAAATACATCCATTAGCTTGGTTTAGCATTCACCCACCACAGAGACTGAACAGCACAGGCAAAAGGCAATAACCCCCATCTGGGGGTAATGAAAACTGCCTGTGCCAGCAGTGACAGAGCAGACATGCAGCCCCGGGCAGCCCCAGGGTGAGTTTGCAAACAGAGCAAAAGGGAGCTTGAGGAAAATACACTGAGTCTCTTAGTGGTGATGTGGATAAGGATCTAAATATTTAGCTGGCATTCCCAGAACAAGTCTTTAGCCTGGCTGGAAGAAGGTAACTGCTCCCACAGGATCTGTGTGAAGACTGAAAGCCACCATGTCCTCTGTGTGCTGGGTTAACTTACGTCTAAATCCAAGCACAGGAAGTGGCCGGAGGTGAAGGGCAGGCTGGCCAGCTGGTAGTGAATGGTTCCTGCTGTACCCACTGGGATCACAGCTTCTCGGGGACAAATGCTTGTTAAAACACCAGGTATGAGCAGCAGCACCAACCCTCCCCTGAGCCCTCAGACCCCCCCACCAGCCCCTCACACCCACTGCCTGCACCTCTGGGGGATGCTCAGAACCACCAAAACAACTCCAGGTTCAGGTTGGTGGGATCTGCCTTTCGGGCATCAGGGATAATGCTGAGCTAAATCCAGGGGGGATGGACAAAAATGGTGCAAGGAGGGCCAAGGTGCAAGCAGCTCAGGGGTGAATTTGGAGTCAGTAACACCCTGCAGAAGCTCAGCTCCTCCCTGGCACACGTATGGACCAGGCACGGGAAAGGGCTGGTCCCCTCGTGGGGCTGCAGGGGAGGTGGGATCAGCCCCTCCCCTCCTCACACCACACACCGTTGAGGGTGCCCAGGAGCTGGATGTTCACAAGGTTGACCACGATATCGACCACTGGACACAGCTGCAACACAAAACAGAAACAGGCCCTCTCAGCCCCCTCCTCACCCCCCGCAGGAGCCACCACCTGCGGCAGGACCAGACCTGCTCCTTTAATCCACATCCCCAGGGAAAAAGCCCTGGTGGCATCAGGCAGCAGCTGGGATGCTGGGAAGGACTCAGGGGCCATGGAGCATCCCCAGGGCTGTGGTGCCACGCTAAGGGGACTGCTCTGATCTGGGAAGTGTTTTGGGGATCACCCTGCAGGCAGGAACATGCCAGGAACTGCCAGGCTGGCCTGAGGCATCCCTGTGGAGCACCAGGGAGGTGGGAAGGAAGCACAAGGAGATGGGACAGCCTCCTGTGACCTCTGATGTGTTGCTCCTGGTACTTGTGTGTTTCTGCTGTGGAAGGAGGGCAGTCCCCAGGCTTACCAAACCAGGCAGGGTTGCTGTCAGCTTGTTAAGCACTATGTCATTTACTGAGAGGGAGAGTAGCCTGGAAAGGGGAGAAAACAATTCCCAGTCACCACAAACAGCTCCAGGACAGGCGAGCAAAGGATCTGCAGCCCTCGTGTACACACTGCTGCCCCGTTAGCCATCCCTTCAGGGATGCTGCTGCAGCTGATGGGGGCTGGGCAGGGGCTGGGCAGGAGGTTGAGGAGCTGCTGGGCTCCCTGGGAAGGAAAGGGGCAGGTTTCTGAGGAGCAAAGGCTCCGGGCTGGGCAGGCACAGCCACCCGCAGCCGGGAGCCGCTCAGAGAGGAGCCCGAGCTTGGTCATTCCCCCTGGTACTTAAATCAGAGCTGTGGTTAAGGGAAGGTGGAGTTGTTAGGAAATACCTCCATGGTGATTATGAGAAACAAACAATTTACATGTGGAATAACGAGAGGAGAAATGTGCTGTGTAACATGGCACTGCTGCTGAGCAGGGCACCCCGGGCTGGGTGATGCCTGCAGGCAGCACGGAGCCACTTCCTTTGGATCATCAATATCTTTCTGGACTATTGGGTTAGAACATGCAGCAGCACAAACAGCAAGCCCAGACCACAGGAATCCCTAATGCATCTCATTATTTATGCCCAGGCTCTGCCTATAGACACAGCTGAGGAACTGCCATGCAGCCCCTTGTGTGCAGCCACACTCCCCCCACCCCACGGGGCTCAGCTCCTGCAGACCATCACTTCACCCCTGCTAAAACCTAAAATATGACCCCCCAGAGCGGGTGAGCCATGTTCCTCTGTTCACTTACACAGCCTCTTTCAAACCAGCAGCTGCACTGACTGAAATATGATGCATAGTGCAAAAATTAATTAGAAGAAATTCAATGAACCTGAAAAGTGGGTAATTCAAAAGCAATAAAAGAAAATATTTCCCATGATCAATTTGATGATGAATTCACCAAGACGTGAAGTCAGCAAATCCTTTCTGCCAAGAATTTCATCAGACTGAGCAAGAGGTGGGACATTTGCATGGAATGACACCCACCCAGAGCAGACTGAAGGTCCATACCCCCAGAACCTTGCTGTGACAGCAGCCAGAGGCAGGGTATAAAGCCAGGACAAGCAATGGTGCTGGTCTCCTGCAACACTCCCTGCCCTATTATTCCTGTCCTTTGGATACCAATTCAGTAGCTAGACCTAAAGAAAGTGCACTGGAAGTGGCACCAAACCTCAGACTTCAGATAACAACATTTCCACAAGCAAACAGGGCAAATTAACCATCATCTTCCAACAACCAATTGTTTTGCCTGTTCCACTGAAGCAACTGGCCTTGGCAAAGGGGAAGAAATGAGTTCCCTGAGCTCTGGCTCTGCATCAGCTGTGTCCTGGCAGGCTGTCGAGATCACTGGATAAAGAGAAGAGGATTACAGGCACTGGGAAATAAATCCACAGGCACTTACCCAGCAAGGAGCTTGATCTTTATGGCACCCAGAATGCACAGGCAGTCTTCAACGACGACCTGGACCGTGCCTGACTCAAAATTCGTGCATTTAATGTTTGCAGTAATGCTCACATCCACTAAAATGTCAATTAGATCTGAAAGAAGGCCAACCAGGCTGAAAAAAGTAAACGGGTTGAACAGATTTCATCTCTCAGCCTCTAACCAGAGAAACTCAGCAAAGCCCAAAGCAACAAACTGAGCCTCCATCTCCTGCTGCTCGTTACAAGTGCCACAAACCATCGTCTGGTGCCTGCACCGTGGCTTCCTTACAGGTAACAAACACCCAGAAATCCATACCAGATGCAAGACATTGCAGAATAGGAAGCCTGTGGGCAGGGGCCTCCCCCCACCCCAGCCACCAGGAACCCCCACTCACCAGTTGCCGCTGAGCTCCAGGCGGGCAGCAATGGTCAGCTGGACCCCGATGCTGGGCAGCAGCACCACCGAGAGCCCCCCCCCCCCCCCCCCAGCCGCAGCCTGGAACAGCAGCACACACTGCCACTCAGGAGAAGCATCTCCCAGGAGCTGAGCAGCTGTGGGCACCGAGCGACCTGCAGCACCCACACCACCACAGCCCCCCGGGGCACCAGAAGGATAAGCAAGAGCCACCAGCCCCAGGCTGAGACCTGCAGTCTGCAGCTGGAAGCTGAAAGCAGGCAGCCCAGCAGCAGGCAGGGGTGGAAGCTTCAGAGAGCAGTCAGCTTTTTCTCTCTCTGCTGTCGAGCATCTTGGAGGCCAACAGCAGCATCAGAGCCCTCATTCTGCATCTGCATCCATAACCCACAGTGCACTTCACCATCCAACCACACACACAACTCCTGC